CTTCGCGCATCCTCAACATTCTCGCACACCAGAGCATTGCCACAAGCGTACTGCAGAGCTTTTTTGATGTGGGGAGGTTCATAGCGAATCACATCAATCACCAGCTTGGCTCCTCGCAGTTCTCGGAGTTTCTCATCGGTTGGTTTCACCTTTGAAAAGACACATTTTAAATTTTCTACACAATATTTACAGTGTGAACGGCACTAAGGAAAGAACAACATTAATGACCTGAGGTTGGGAATATTTCAGAGTTAAGTAGCATTTTATATAAAGAACCTCTGCAGGGAAAAAAAGGTTCAAATTGTCAGTGAATAAAGATTATTTATAGGCGTGACAACATTTAACCCCCCCCCAAAAAAAAAACAAAACATAAAGACAGAAGTATAATTTTGGCTTTAAAAATTGCAGAAAGCAATGTTGCCCATCCTGCCATGAATCTGTTCGTTCTATGACATTAAAACATGCTGCAGGAATTTTCATTATCGTCCGCAGGGAAAATTGTTTTAGCCAAATATTTTAAGTGACGACCAACTCTGGGAAACTTTAACAAAATATTATCTGGATACATAATCATCCAGCTGATCACCTTCAATTTCACCCAACAGGGATATTCAGGGTTCACACCTATTTTTCAGGGTCAAATTCAAGCACTTTTTAAGCACTTTCAAGGTCAATTTTTAAGCTTTTCTAGATTGGCAAAAAAAGAATGCTTGTTTCACTCATTTAACTAAGTAAGACCAAGTAAAGATTAAAACAAATCATCTTAGGTCGACTTAAATATCCTTTGTTCCCCGTGTGTAAGAACAGAGAAAAATGCACCACACAAAAATACTGAAAAAGGAAATGCTTGCCTTATATGCAAACAGTGTACAAACTCAAAAAATACATTTCTATTAAAAACTAAGATGTGAAAATGTGAACAAATCAACTTGTTAGAGATATTCATCTCCACTTGACAAAAACAGCAACCCCACATAACAAGAAAACTGCACCAAACACCACAATAATACACAGCAAGGCCAAATGAATAAGTCTTCTCATCAGCGATTGACGCTTCTTAGCTATGTGACACAAAAATAGGAGACAGATGTTTGTTTGTTTTTAACTAGTTAAGCACCCAC